GTGAGGCACACGGCCCTTGGCCCTGATTTGGACGCTTCAGGAACACTTTCGAGTGCTGGTCGCCTATCAAGTGACAAATTTTGATGAGATCCTTTGAAGAAATAGGCCACCACACACGCTTTCATTGCCTGTTGAAGTCTTGTTGGATTGCAACAAATGGTTGTTACCTATTTATGTGTTTACTGCTTGTTTATTTACTAATTTTTGTATGTTAATCGTCTATTCACTTGTTTATGCATTCATCTTTTTGCTTATTTATTTGTGTGTTTTTATGTGTTGTGTGTTTATTTGTTTACTTGTTATCTATTTGTTGATTTATGTGTTACAAGGTGGTGGTCATAATGGGAGCCTTCCGGGATGAAAACATGAAATGTGCACGCCACTCAACCCCCCGACATCCCACGCAACAAGCTTGGTCGGAATCCTGCATGTCAGACCACAAGTGGGATGCTGTGTGAATTCTGGCAAGCTGAATTGATCACACTGTACAAATTTTCTACCTAGCCATTGGCTCCATACCAGCCCACGAACGAAAACACACCACTCACCCATCATTGCACCCGCCTTGCCATTCACCTGTTGGATCATTGTTGTTTCGACCTCCCCGTGCATGCTCTGGAGGTATTCTTGTATACGAGAACACATCCAGAGCATGAACAGGGAGGTGGGCAATTATACGTATAAATTGAACTGGGTCCACAGAACAGCTGGCAACCTAGCCGTGGAGAGGACCTCCTTTGTCACTTTCCCTGTTTTGTTTTTCTTTCTCCTGTGCTGGTCCTCCCGGTCCGCTACGATCTGCATGATGTCATCAGTGTCGGCACATGGGGCCCTTAGTGTAGATGTGGGCGACCCATGTACATTGCCTTTTTCGGCGAGGCAGTATGGCGTCATCATGACTGTTGCACTGGTGGCTGCGCAGGTGGAGGTGGTTGAGAAGACAGTGGCACACCCCTATGCCTTTAAAGATGTCTATATGGCCGCCAAGTCGATACCCGCATTCACCACACGGGTGGGGCTACCCCTCTCACCTGTGCCAATTGCCCAACATCCAGGATGCATGTTGCTTGCATTCGTATAGAAGTGCAATTGCCAGTAGTCCACAGACCCCTCGATGTTGTGCGCCGCAGTAGTCATGCGCACAAGGCTGCCAAACAGTGGTTTTGATTGTTGCCTTCATGCACTCAGCAAACTCCAGTTTCACCCAATCATGCTGCATCCACTTGCGCCAATGCCCAATCATAAGACCCTTGGAGGTCCGCCCTGTGGGCTGATAGCAGACTGACAGCCCCCGTTCATCGCCTGCCAGCGGAATAATTTGTCAACATGAGTGTGCGAAATTGGCGCAGCACTTACCACGATGCTGCACAATACTGCAAAAGTTGATTGCAATACTTCTGCAGTGAATATTTTCCCACCACATTTTGTGCGGCACTTGGTGCGACACTGCGAGGCCATGTTGCATCCGATCCTTTGATCCAACAGGCTCCACGGCGTCGCTCGGAGGTGGACTACTTGTGGTGCAGCCGCCACATGGGCGTGGAGGCTGTCATGCACCCCGCCAACCCCCGGGACATCTTGACGATCGACCGGACCCTGCTGCCAAACAACAGGCATCCATCGGACCATTTGCCACTGGGGGCAGTTCTTTTGCCCACCAGAGTGAAGCTGAACGGAGTGTTGGCAAATGAGGAGCAGCTGGAGAACCAGCTGGAGGAGCAGCTAGAGAACCAGCTGGAGGAGTAGGCAGGCGGAAAGAAGATGGAGGCGGAGATTGGGGGCCAAGACCTGGACTATTGTTCCGGTTCTTAGGCATGGGGATAGGTGAGTGGGGCGGATGTGTAGGTCCTAAAAGCTGGATGTTCGTTTTGGGGATTTGGGGTCGATTGGGGGACTGCAGCGTGTATTCTTTGGATGACGGGATCGGTCAAGATGAGGGCGCCTTGGGCGGTGCACGGCTTCACTGGAGGGGCTGGGAGTTTCGGCCACTGGTTGTGACTAATGGCAGAGCCGCTCAGGGTCCCACCTGTGTTTAGTTGGCCCAAATTTCGGACCGGTGGGCTGCATGTGTTGGCCTGACAGGCCGCCTCAGCTGCCTCATGGGGCAGCTATGCGCCCCGTCGGCTGTGGTGGCGTCCAGTCGATGCATGCCCTTCCACGCGGATGATCTGCCGCCGTAGTACTTTAGCACAAGACGGCCGGTTACTCATTTGTCCACCACTACGTCGGGTTTTGAAACATTGCGGGTCTGTGGGCGCCGTAGATGTAGATGACGCTGGAGAAGATTTGGCTGTGGGGGCGAGAGAGCGAGCTGTGGAGGTGTCTGTTGAGAGGACGTCTTTTGGATTTTGCATTCCCTGAGATTGACCACCTGTCGAACGGAATTGTGGCGCGCTGTGGGAAGCTGGTGAATGGCGAGCCTGTGGTGGTGAAACTTTGGAGGGGATGCGGCACTGCATGGGGCTTTAGGTTTGCCGCATCGTGTGTTGCGTTTTGGTGTCGTGGATAGTCGGATGGCTGCCAATCGTTCGCTGATGGTGGGGCGGAATGCGGCGTTCTTGTCCGTGAGAGGCATCTGCGCAGCTGGCGTTTTCGGGAGAGCTAGAAAATTTGACAGTGAAGAGGAAACGGAAAGGGGGAGTTAATCGGACCGTTTGCATGCGGGCGAGCAAAGTTGGCTTGGCTGACTCGGGCAGACTGTGTGCGGCGTCGTTGCGGCGAATTGTGTTCTCGGCCGGGCTGTGCTGGGATCGACAAACGCTCTCAGATCGTCGAATGCTGCGCTTGCCTGCGATTTGCATCGTGGGACGATTGGGTGGGGGTCACGGCAGCGTCGTCCGCAATGAATTCTGCAAGGACGGTCAAGCGCAGGCAGAACTGCATTTTCTTCCTTCACATGTACCTTTTCCTTACATTTGTATGTTTCGCTGCGTGAATTTTCAACGTGCACGTCACGAATTTGTCGGTAAGTTTTCGGTCGATCGACTTGCTCCGTGGACGCTCAGATTCGTGCGGCGGTGGAGTCAAAGCACGCCATATAGGTGCGTCGCGATTCTCGTCTTCACCCCAAGAAATCTTCCACATCGAGGCGAGGAGGTGGCTGTGGGCTCCTTGTTCTATACCACACCCATTCACTGCCGACTCAATACATCAGCTCCTCCTTCTACACCCATTCTATACTCTAGTCTGCACCTTCCTGTTTCAGCCATCCAGAAGTACGTGCCGTACAGTTTTCTGCTTCCGCCAACCACCAATACAGCGCCCAGCCACCGCAAGAGCAGACCATCCCCTCCAGCCCCGCGCCTTTGCCGGTCCACCCTCCCAACCCCCCTCACCCCTCTCCCCCCGAACCCCCCGCCCTCCAAACTTCAAATTCACCCCTCCCCGCCGGCCCCCTCCCCCCCCCTCCCCCGCCAAAACCACATGGCTTGACTCCCCTTGACTTCTCGACGACCAATTCTCCATTTCCTTTTGACTTGGGGGACTCGAATTGACTTGAGCTGACTTTCGTTGACTTGAGTTGACTCGAGTGCGCCTGAGCAAACCTCCCGCCTCCGGAGGGCCGCCGTGGACCGGGCGCGGGCGCCATGGGCGGCAAGCACGCCCTGGACTCCGCCATGACGCCGTCGCGGTGCCGGTGCCTCAAGTCAGGCTTCGGCGCCCAGGTCAAGTCGCAGGCGCCCTCCGCCCCGGCGTGGGGCTTCGGAACCTCCCTCCGGGACGCCGTCTTTCGGGTGAGGGCGCCCAAAGAGCGAGCGCTTTTGCGCTTCTGCTTTTGCTTTCCTTTTTATTTTGGCTTTGGCTACCGTGAGCGCTCCTGCGCTTCTGCGCGTGCTTGGCGAGCGCTTTACTGCGCACTCCTGGGCCCCTGCGATTCTTGAATGTTCCAAACTGCGCTTTTCGTCGGGCCTTTTCGACGGGCCTTGAGGCGAGGAAGGCGGTCGTCCGGAAGGCAGGGGTGGCCGAGTTTCGGCCTCCTTCGCGTGCCGCGCTTTTGATTCCTTCCTTGTTTTCTTTGCGTGTTCTTGAATGTGTTGTTTCGTTGTTCTGCGCGGCTGCCTTGCGGCTTCGGATGGGATGGCCCGTCGCCTCTGGGTGGTTGCCTCTCTGTTTAGCTTTGACTCCGTCAACAGATGTCGACCCAGGACACCCATGCCGGCGCAAATTTTTCCGCATTACGTAAAGCCAGCTTGCCGGGGCGGCAGCGTTGGGCAGGTGCAGCGCTCTGACGACCAGTTGTTTGTTGCTTTGCCTGCAGCAACACATTTCGGCTGAGCACGCGAAGGCGATGTGCGTCAGCAACTCCCAGGGGCCCGTCTACAGACTATACGTAAGGCGCCTGGCGGCATTGAAGCAGGGCGCTGTCGTCGTTCATTTGAGCTCCCAGACGCACCTTGTTTGAATGCATGGCTGATTTCAATTGAGAACACTTGTGCAATCGATATCAATCGATATCAATCGATGTCGATTGCGCAGCCAATTGATATCAATTGAGAGATCAATTGTTCATGCGAAATCAATCTACATCAATTGAAAAGCCCTGTTTTGTTCTGAAACGATGGAAACAATACGCGACTTGGGAAGATCCCTGTGTTTTTCGGGAGTATAACCAAATACGGGGGACGCAGGTGTCAGGCGCAACAAATGTACGGTATTGGAAACGGCTGAATATATTTATTGGCCCACATGCACTTTCTCCTGCGCCTTTTCTTACCACCCCCCAGCACCATTCTGCTGTGATAGTATGACATAAGTAATGTCTATCTGCATAAATGTTTCAGACAAGGCAGATTCCCCCACTAGAAAAAAAGCCCCAATAGCACGTGTTCAAACGTGTACAAAGTTTGCGAGTTTGGGTTATATCTGTATTCTTAGCTTGCAGAAAATTGATGAAATGTGTCTTATGTGTGTTTGAAAAAGTGTTGTTTGGTCCTTTTTTTGCAAGTGCCTGTGAGAAACCCTCAGGATTAAATTTGGCACCACGCACTTGCTGATGGCTAGTGCCCGTTGGTCACGTCGAAATCAACGAGTGGCAGAGGGGTCTCCGTGGCCTGAACATTTGCAGATGCGATTTGTAATGCCTTGAGCTGACTACCGTGCTATATTCAACCATTCCGCATCAAAATACAATTTTACCGTTGCGCTTTTCGCTCGGCATTTTCTTCAGAGCGTTATTTTTGTTGTTGACGCTGCTCCACAAAATTTCTACTTAAAGATCGCTATCAATTTTATGGTTTTCTCTGAAAAGGAGGCCAAGCGTTACGTTATCATGCGGAAGGGTCGAATGCACTTCGGTACGGTGCTCTGAGGAAAGAGACCCCAAACGCCGCACTGGCAGCAAACTTTCGGCGTCGCCAAACTTGGGCAAGAGCCTTTGGTTTGTTCTGCGCCAGATGCGCAGCCACAAGCATTCAACCTCCGTTCGAACCAAATAGCGGATTTCGAATTTGAAATTCGGGGTGTGCCCCTGGCTCCAGTCGGCCATCGGCAGGCAGGGCTCCTCGCCCAACCTGTCGTCCCCGGAGTTCAGCTTCGGCAGCTCCTCGAGGTCAATAAAATACGGCAGGAGCGGCATGCCGGGCCCCGGGGCCTACAAGAACGGCTCGTCCATCGGCAGGCAGAATGAATCCAAGAGGTGCAGCTCGGCGAGGGCGGTGTTCGGTACGACCACCAGGGACGCGCAGAACAAGGTAAGAATCATTCAATCAATGCTGGTACAGTCAAGTACTGCGAAGTACCGAGCCTCGTATCCCAAAAGAAGGTAATATTTGATTAATGATGAATAATGATAATATCATCGATATAATTGAAGCGATTATTTTTTAATAATAATTGGTGCTGGTGCGCGTGCAGGGGCGCCTCCGCTCCAGTTTCGTCGAATGCCTTTCGTTTCCGTACATGAAGGGACCATCAATGCTACATGGTGCCCATGGATTTTTACACCCAAAACTTAGAAACCCTAACGAACAATGGACCTCATGACCTTTCTGTCAGAAAATGAAGAGTGTCAGATGTTTGTGGCGCCTTCGCCGAATGGACACAGCAACTCGCCGCCACTGATTCTGGACAAAAGGTTGATTTCTAATTCAACGCTTTCAAAATGTCAGAGCCGGAATACTGCATTGTGGTTTGGAAGCTTTACTGGGCTTGAGTCTTCCGGGATCGGTGTTGCAGCACCAGAAAAGCAGGAAAGGAAAAATGACTCAACGTATTTCCTTGGACGGTGTGGCTGGCGTGTGGTGATGACATTATGTTATAAATACTGTGATATTAATTCTGATATAATCTTCTTTAAAAAAGTAGTGCGAGCGCATTTTAAGCATTATTGAGGAAATTGTGCGCAGTTTATTTGCATGGCGTGCGCCTATCAGCCGCCGTGATTCAGCACGCGGCCTCCCAACGATGTTCTAGAAGTTTCGCTCAAAAATTCCCTTGTCAGTTTTGCGAGGGACTCTCGCAACGCCGCCTGCTGGGGGCGTAATGAAAGGCGCATGGAATGGCATTCCCGCCTCTCATTGGCTCGAAGCGCCTAAATAGTGATCACAGTGGTCAGGAATAAAGAAAAGCTTGTGCAAGAAATTTAATATTAGATGAAATGCAAAATGCGTGAAGTGAAAAAGTCTCCCGTTGGCGTTGAGTCAGACTTGGCGGCCTCTTGCGCATGATGTTCAGGTGCACTTGGACGACGAGTTGGCGAAAACTTTCTACGGCGTGGGCACTCCAGCCCCCAATGTGTACAACTTGAA